TAATAGTTGCATCCTTTGAAATAACACTTTGATAGTTTCCTATGCTCTCTTCTTGTAATTTTTTCGAATTCTTCTTTGACGTCTTCGATTGCTTGCAACAAGCTGATACTAGTCTCCGAAGTTGATCTTGTGGCTTTCTTTATATCATTGGTGTGTATTTCTGTTTTACAAACTCGACCCGGTTCTTCTGCATTTCCGTTAGCTCTTCTATAACACCATCTGCTGGTTTAGGCATTTGATAGAATGGTTACAATTGTTAAACTACTGTGTGACATGCGTTTGAGTAAAGACGCGCACAACATTTTTCTTTCGTCTCGCCTGTCAAATAAATAATTATAAACGATACGGGGTCTTAGTGATTCAAACGAACGTCTCACACAATTCATCCCACGATTGGTCAGTGGCACAATTTACAACAAGGATTGTTTGCAAGGTGTCCATAATTGCTTGTTATAGTTGGATTGACGGGGTCGGGTGCTCCAAATGTTATAACAAATTATTGTAGAAGTCTTACCCAGGTTCGACTTTAGTTAGATATTAAATTAGTGAATGATTGATGTACAGTTCTGAGCCCCCAGCCAGCAATTCGAACGGTTCAATTATTAGATATACAAAAAGGTTAAAATTCAACGAATAACAGTTTGATATTAATTTAATAATCAAATACTTCATATTCCTAATTAGACTCCATCCGCTTGACCCTTTAATAGGCTATTTCATAACGTAATCAGCAGTGTGAGATCGTTTTCTACCTGTTCCTATGTTCTAGTCATCTGTGTATTATTCTCTCCATTTTCTCCAAATTTCTTCTCCTCCTCCTCGAATTCTTTATACTCCTTCTCCTCCCCCTCTTCTCGATAGCAGATAGTTTCTGACTGTATTACGGGATGTGGAATAGTGTTCCCTCGTGCTCTTGTAATAGTACTGCTCGGAGGCCCATGTCATGCGCTTCAATGTTGAGCACGAAGTCTTTGGCACATCCGGTTGACTGACAACAGCGTCAGATGTCAGCCTCTCTTTAAGCGTCAGGAAAACGTGCTCTCACGCATCCGTCCAAATAACTTTGCTCTGGGCCCGTTTCCTGGAAAGGTTAGACATTAGCCAAATATTCGCATTGAAATTGGCTACATACCACCTGTAATACCCAGCCAATCCCAGGAATGATTTTAACTCAGTTTTCGTGGTGGAGCTTGCGACGTTTTTCAGCTGCTCTACCTTCGATCTCTCTGAGGATAGCGTGCATTGATTCGGGTGTGTCCCAATATGTCAAAAGTCCTGAATCCAAAGTGACATTTGAAAGTGAGAGCCGTCGATCTCGCCTGACGTAGCCGTTCCAAACCGTCAATTATCAGGGTGAGGTGCTCACCTCACATCTCTGTGGCTAGCAAGTGTTAATCTATGAAATTGTGCACATCTTTATCGAGTAAGGGTTCCAACAACTTCCGCATCATTCTAGTGAAGACGCTGGGAGCATTCTGAACTCCAAACGGCATGACTTACCATTATTATGTTCCGTCGGGATTAGAAAAAGTGAGCCTTGCCCTATCTTCCTCCATTACAGGAATTTGCCACCAGCCCATGGAAAACTCCAACTTCGAAAAATATTCTACTTTTGAGACGGAAGCGAAAATATGTTCTGGGTCAGGTAGCATTTCAACTTGAAATTATGTCACCTGATTCAATTGAAGGTAGTCGACACAAACACGTTGGGTGCTATCTTTCGTCTGCACTAGTGCCACAGGAGAACTGTACAGAGCAATCATCTGCACAATCTCTTCTCTTACCGCTTGTCGTTTCGTGTGGGGCAAAAGGTATGTTTCGTCTGCACTGGCTCGTAGTCCACCAGCTTTAACCCTAACTTTCAAAATGATGTTTTCCATAAGAACATCAACAGTTAACATGGGGTCACACTCCACGACCGATGGTATCTCAGCCCTCGTTAATGGACAGCTCGGAACGGTGTTCAAACCTTCAGTATCGCCTTCGGTGTCCTCGGTGACAACCGTGGAGACGACACCAACGCTGGCGGTGACTAATCTTTATCTCTTGAGGAGATTAGCATTGTACAACTTCTCATTGGTAGCCGTATCCGATAGGTTTGACTCCCGACTATGCCGGCTACGGTTTGCAATTTGTTGTTCTCTTGGGGAAACAGCAACAACACCTTGTCCCCTACTTCATACTGTCATGGTCTCGCGAGCTTGTAGTACTCAGCCTGTCGCGACTTCGCTCGCTTAAGGTTCACATGTGCGAGGGTACAGACTTCTACCAATTTTGTTTTCTGATATCCGCGACATACTGATAGGTTGTACGTACTTCTTCGACAGTGTGATCGTCCTGCCACAGCTGTCTCAGTTCGGCGATGGGACCAAGTACGGTCCTCCCATTGAAGAGTTCAAAGGTAGAAAACCATAAACTCGCTTATGGTACTTCTTGATAAGCGAAAGTATAGCAGGAATATACCGATCCCAGTCTTTGGGACTGCATTTACAGAGCTTCTTAACAGTGTTTTCCGGAGTTCCGTTAAACTGCTTGTCCACTTTTTACATTGGAGAGATACGGTGTAGTCGTGAGGTGCTTAATCAACATCAGTCGTTTAACCTCTTCCATCACGCTTTTGACGAATTGTGTCCCTTGATCGGTCAGGATCTCGTCAGGCACTCCGACTTTTGACCAAATCCCAAGCAGCGCTTCACCAACGGTTTCCGAATCAATATTACGCAACACGACAGCCTCTGGATAGCGTGTAACGTAATCTACGACAGCTAAAATATACCGATTTCCTTGCAACCGAGTCGGTTGTTTTCCGTCCGAATTATAATTCAACTATTGTATAAGTTCCACTTAGGCTCGATTTTAATTGGAAGTTAAATTAGTGAAAGATCTACAGCTCCGGGACCCAGTCAGCAATGCTGATGTTTAAATCATTAAATATACAAACCTATTAAACTTTAATGAATAACAATTTAATAATTAAATGCTTCGAATTCCTAATTACATTCCTCCACTTGGCCCTTGAATAGCCTATTACATCATTTAATTAGCAGTGTGAGAGATCGATTTCCACCTGTTCTTGTATTCAGTCACCTAAAAGTCTCCCTTTTCGAAGCTTTGTCTTTCCTTACAATCTGCTTCAAATTTTATGTCCAAATTACGAGTTGCTTTCCGGGAGTTGCGAAGTACAGTCAGATTTTCCGCACACAGATCAAAATTTCTATTTTGGTCGGTCAAACTGATTCGTGACAAAAACTAAGTTGTGACATCACATATACACCCGGGAGGTAGGGACTGATACGATTAAATCGCCTAAAGACATGTTTTGGTGAGAAACTACAAAGGATATATACTTTGTTGTTCTTGATTTTCTTCCAACAACTGGTATCTGCAATGACGTCATCATAAATTAATCGTGTTCGTCAACGTGCAAGCGAAGATACCGGTTGCGATATGATGGCCAATGATCTATATAGCTGCGAATTAAAGGGACCTTTTAAAGGTGTTAAATGTTTTACAGTAAGTCTGAACTTTTTCCAGATTTTTGTAGCGTGTTTTAATGGTGTCTGCGGTGTTCGTATTGACACCAAAACGTTTGCACATATTTTTGTTTGAATGCTTAAATGGTACACAGTGGGAACTAACATAAAGATAATTAAACTTTTCAGCATCATTCAGGGTCACGAGTAAACAATTGCTTGGCAATAGTGGTAGTCCTTTTACCAGCAAACTTGCTCAGCAGGCTATATTAAACACGTGATGTCGCATTTAATAACCAAAGACCTAATACATATACTTATGATTGCTGTTTTTTATATATGGCGAATTTACATGTAATTTTACCCGATGGACGGAAGGATGTGATGATAAAGGTAAATTCACTTAAATATCATCTTTATGAGAAATTCTACATTTCTATGTATAATGTTTCAGTTAGTGCAGATTTTAATTTTCTTGTTACAGTCATTAGTTCAATCCACATGATAAATACTGAAAACTGCACTAGAATGTCAAGCGAATACTGTTCATTAGTGTAGTTACAACATTAGGTACATTTGACCCAGTTGTCGTTAAGAGGTTGACTTGAATACAAGTAAAATATTTTGTAGCAATGGAATATGGATCCAAATATATATATATATATATATATATATATATATATATATATATATATATATATATATATATATATATATATATATATATGACTTATCAATTAGGCAACCAATATTAAATTACTGAAATTATGCACATACTGGCCCAAATTACAGTATATCCGTGATTCCATCATATTTTGCACTTCAGCAGAAATGCCTACTACTATGAAAATTTAGTTGTGAAATGGTTATCTCAGGTAGATACGACTCGATTTTTATGTACTAATAAAAATATCCTCCAATTGGTACGATGGTTTGGGTTGAACTTTATCTAAGTAAAATTTTTCTTATTCATAATTCTTGCTACCAACTCCCTTCCACCCCGTTGTTTAACTTGTATGATATTAGATATATGCTGATCTGTCAATAATATCCTATAGATCGGCCGAAATGGAAAAGCCACTTGCTTGCTTAGGCTATAAAATCTATCTATAATTTCACTGATTACTATTATTATAAGCTTTCTCTTTTTGTCACAGCTTTAAACAGATGACCATGGTAGAACACCGTTAAATACATGTATTCCAAACGTGAGGTGGAAGGACGTTTTGCTTAAAGGTTGCAAATCTCTAGCATTCCCTGTTTATTTTGAACCATTCATATGTATTCCAAGGTCGACGGGAATATTTTGCCTAGTGGTTAGAGCGTCCACCTCGGATACAGGTGTCGCGGAAAGTCACTGGAAAGATATTTTAAAATTAAGAATGAATGAACATAATTTTAGAACTGATCCAACATGGTCATGTAAAACAACTAAAAGCAGAGTTGTATTGATGTGGACCCCAACAAAAAACAATTTCATCAATATGACCCCGGCAATATGTAGATGAATCATACATGAGAGTGACC